ATACATTATACAGGACAAAAAAGCTGCTGCAATGTATCCATTGGCATGTCCTCTGTTGGCCAGGCAAGGTGTCAAACGTTATAGCATGTAGGAGGAGTTCTTGAGAATTGCTTAACAGTTTTCAGTGGAAAATGCTGTGTCAATATCACAATTTTTGAGATACATGTAACAGTTCCAATGAAAATTTTGATTTAGAAAGTTGTTCAGTTCCAGGGTAGAAGGAGAAAGCATAGTCAACACCATGACAGATTCACAGAAAGTGCTTGAGGGGGAAGGTGGCAGGCTCAGGTGCAAATCCCCATTTTGCCTGTCTCCCTGCCTAAAACCTCAACAAGGTCTTGGGTTTATTCCAGTGGGAAATATTGAAATCTCAGGATGCTTTTCAGGATGGCAAAAACTTTTTTTGCCCAGCTCTGCATTTGAAAGTTCTCCAGCTTAATTATTCCTGATGTCTGAGTGGCTGCTTTAAAATCCAACAAAGAGTTTAGAGGGTATAAGAACAGAGTGTCCAATTTTCTTACCCAGTGCAAGCTGGACAACATGATGGAGAAATGTTTCAGTAATTAGTTGTAACACATTTGACAGGCAGATTCAGATCACAATTCGATAGAAATGCAGATAATAGAAGGAATTTTCCAGACAGTCTTTCAATATAGCTCTACCACTGAAGGCAACATAAGTTGCACTTGAAAAGCTGTCATTTGGCCACATTTGCAAGCACGTTGGTGCTCTTTGCACTGCTTCACTAAGTGCTTGGGGCTGGGGCTTGCCACACTTCCAGTGGTTTTGCTTTCAACATTTTTGGCTTTAACTGATTCCCTTGTTACAATTTCAGTCACCCACCTACTGCATGTTCCATCCTGCTTGCGACCAGTCTCCTGATACCTACTTTCACAGGAACTGATGTACATTTCACATGACGGTTAACATTTTTGGTTATTTTTTCCTATGTGTTTTCTTTGAGTTTCTGCAGTTGTGGTATTTCACACACAGTATGAATACAACATTCATTTTACACTAGGCTTCGTTGCAGACCAGCAAATAACAAAACTGGTAGAATTCCTAGGTAGGATGTTCCTCCAGCAGAACAAGAAAGCTGGGGCTGACAGATGACAAGTGAATTATCTAAAGCAATATTTTCTTGTTGAAAGCTTTAGTGGTCAGCAGATAAAAGCCAGTCTTCAGCTTTTGGAAAATAAGGAAGGAAAGCAACTAATCTTGTTTAGACAGTCCCTTTCCTCATTGACATGGTCATAGTTCCTCTTGACTGGGCATGAGAAGAACTTCCAAGAGGTTTTATTTCTAGACCAATGTGACAACTCACCTTCTTGAGATTGCTGTTTCCACAGAGGGAACTTACATGATGGTGTTAAACTACTTATCCTTGAAGATGCTATGTGCTCATCATTTGTCCACACAAGAAATGGACCACAAGAAAGGGACTACGTGTACTATATGTGTTACCTATTTCTGTCTTTAGACCACTTAAGTTCACCAGTTTCATTTTACTAACAATATGTTCACTCACTGCCCATCTCCTCCAGTCATTTAAATTTCTTCAGGCTAGCAAGTGAAAAACAATAGAAATGATGAGATCGCATCCAGACACTACTGAGTGCCCCAATCTAAAGCAATTAACATTGGCCTCTGGGTGCACCTTCACTTTAGTTGGCACACCTCTGAACAAGAGTTTACTGATCATCCCCACTTACTGTGCTTTTATTCATGTTGCAGAGTGCTCTTGGAGAGTGCTCTTTCAGATGCAATGGGAGTTGGCAGCTCCTACATCTAGTATCTTCCAACTGCTAATGAAGTGCTCTTTCAGATGCAATGGGAGTTGGCAGCTCCAAGGGTACATCTAGTATCTTCCAACTGCTAATGAAACGTGCAGCAGTCACATCAGCTCCTCAGCACCAGCTCTCCTGCTAAAGCCGGCACTCCTATTAGGCTGCAGTACCTGTTAATGTAGACATAAGCTCAGTTAACTCCAGGAGAGAATTAAAGCACAGAAACTCATCGGAAGAAGACACCAGCCTGCTTAGAGATAGCTCTTTGGTTTCTGTCGCATCCCTTTTCTGCTGGCAGGCTGAGCGGGACTCTGAGGCTCCCTTCCGCAGGCTCCAGTTCTTCCCCGGATGTGGGCTGAGACCTCCACCTACTGCAGGGTTCACGATGCATCAAGCGACATGGCCTCTAGGAGCCAGCAACCATTTAATACCCAGAGAAAGTGTGCTACATGCAGTAGCAGTACTTCCTTCAAAAACTGCTTACCTTCAAAAACTAGAAGGTAAATCCTAGAATATTTGAGAAATTACTCTGTTTATACACCTCAAGTTTAGTTGTAGATAAATTAAAAGCTTTTTACTCCACTAGGTGGTGTAATTTGTCTTTCTGTCAGATGTGGCCTTACAAATATCCCCCCTAATCCTTCATTCAAAATGGGGCCCCAAAATATCATACGAAAAGTGGAACGGGAATCTGGTCTACAGGAGTCAACAACTTTATCAGGTCATCCCCCTTTGGCGTGTTTTATGATTCCTTAAAAAAGCTTCTGTCAGGGAAGGATAACTTACCTTTAGAACATTCCTAGATGCATGAAGGAATGAAGTATGAAGCTGAAACAAAAAGAACGTGATTGCCTTCTACTTCCCCTTACACCCAGGTGCCACCTAAGCTGTTCATGTGGTCCATCTCACATTTTTTACAGTGTAACATTCCTAGAAGCTCTCTCCTTGGTTTACATCCGAGTTACAAGATGACGCAGTCAAACATACTCCTGGATCTTTCTTGGCCAGTTATGCTTGCACTTGCATGAGTATGGTTACATGCAGGAGAAGCAGAGAATGCTAGCCTGCATAACAGGGTGTATCTTGGAGGACATACCCTGGCCAAATGTAGCCCTAGTGGATACAACCCTCTGTCTGAAACAAAAACAACCTCCTTGGCTGATGCCATCCAATTCTTGGCTTCAGTTGAAGTCCAGATTAAAAAAAAAGTATGCCTGGATCATAGCTTGCTATTTAGACACTTGTAAGCATTTATTTGTTCACGCTCACTAAATAACAACTCCTGACACACATACAAAAAAAAAAAAAAAAAAAAAGAAAGCAACGCGGCTCTGCTAGGGCTCTGTAGCTACTAATTAATTGGCTACATGGTTCAGCTCTCCCTAAAGTTCAGCCATAAAGAAGTCCTTAACAGAAGAACACAACTAGGTAATTTTTATAGTGTTTCCAGGATGCCTTGTAGGTATTAAGATTAAACAGAAGTCACAGAACGCAAGGAAACAAACCTGTGTGAGAGTCAGTTGTTCAAAGCACAAGGCTGAACTGAACAAAACCCATCTGGCAAACTGGAGGAAGCTGTCCTATCAGCTGCAATTGCCCTTATGCTATCCGCCCACAGCTTTGCTTGCTTGCCCTTGGAGAAGAGATACTGGTAACACAGGCAGTTTTTAGTGAATAAACCCACAAGAAACGCAACCAGTAAATGTATCCAATACAGAGGGAATCATCAGCTTTCAGTGCTGAAACTTTCTGGTACTTCGTCATGGTCACAGTCTGCACAGAACCCACCTTAACTCAGGTAATATATTTACATACCCAGATACATTCGGCATTAGCCAGAGCAGACAGCTCTAAAGAGTTTACATGTCCACCATACCTTCTCCAAGCACAGAACTTAAAATACAGGGCTGCCTACTGTGCATTATTAATGGCATTTCTAGACATTAGTGCTACTGGTGAATTTGTTTCTGAATGCAAATTTAGCAAACTAACCATTTCCTCTGTGGATGACTGATGCATGACAAATCTGAGGTATCTGCATCTACAATTGTGAGTACCACATACTTAGAAAAAAACTGCTAAGTATTTCAAGCTTGGGTGGAAACAAACCCAGAAAATTCCTCAACAGCTACAGTACAGGATTTAGTCTCATGAAAATAACAGTTAGCAATTGGATTTGTCTCATAACCACTTCTACGGCTCCAGTTACTCTGGAATAGTATTACCTAGGGAAGGGTCTGTAATGGCACTGCACTGACCAAAGGTTCCAGAAGTACAGCTCTTGGTGTGACAGAAAAACAGGTAAAGGTCCTTCTTGGTTACACACACTAGATAAATGGCCTTCTTAATATTATCATCTTGTGCGCACATTTAATCACAAGAAGAGGAAGAAGTGGTCTGTGCAATTGTAAATTCATACATGTGATAATCTTCACAGTACATATTAGAATGCTCTATGAAAAAAGAAACCTGAGAAACACCATGACAAGTGCATGTTTACCTGTGCTGCACAGAGGATGTGTGTGCTATTGTCTAATTAGTGATGTTGATCAATTTAAACCTGCTTTATGGTCTGCTGTGAAATCTCATACCAGGAGACTGCTTGATAGCAGTACCAATGTACATAGCCCTATCATAAGAAAAAAGCACTTTGTGCTGGGCAAACACACACATTCTGAAAAAAATACATTAAGTATTTACAGGATGGAGGTTTGCGATCCATTAAGACACTTTAGTGGCATATTCTAAAGACAACACTAAACAAAAGCGGGCTTAAGGGGTTAAAAAAGAAAAAGAAACTTGGCACAGGGCGATACCTAATACTGGCATTGCATCAACAACATAACTGCACTCCACTTTCAGCAAATGCGGGTTTTGCAGATTTCAGTTTGCAAATCATGACAGCAGATGGTTGAAACCTGCCCCCATACAAATCCCATGCCTGAAATGGCATTGCCTACGTTTACGCACCCTGAGAAAAGAGACTTGGATTTCCAAAGAACTGAGTAACTTCAATTCCCACATACTGGGATGCCTGTTAGAGAGGGCACAGGACACTCTAAACAACAGCGAAGTATCTGGTCACTATTACATAGCCAACAAACTTTTATTTAGATGCGGAAGGAAAACATGTTTACAAGAAGAAAATATCTGGGAAGATTTATTGCTCCCCTGAAATTCAGAGAAGCCTCATAGGCTCCCCGTCAGCACTGGAGTCCTTGAGCGAAAGGATGAGCAGGTTCTCAGGCTAAAATCAGTATCAGCATAAATGGCACAGAGACTTCATCTCCCGATTGCTTCCTGATTGATACAATCTGAGTATGAGGAGTAATCCAAATATTGGATTGCACATATCTGGCACGTCTTGCACCCCTCTTCACAGACTATGGTTTTGTCATAACTCACAATGAAGTTACTGTAATACTGCTCAAACAGCGTGCTGTGTGGCACAGACAACTGCTTGGCCATTTCATATAGGCTTTCTGGCTTCAAGTCCTCAATGCCGTAAGCTTTAGTCATGATGTATTCTAATTTCCAGTTCGATTCATTTTTCTTGTTGGCATCTCTGAGGTCCAAATAAAACTGCCAAAGATCCTAAAGTTAAAAAAAAAAAGAAAGAAAAAATAGGCACGGCTGTATTGCTTTCTTCCCTGCTTCATTAAGTCTCTAGAGTGATATATTGATTAGGAAGCTGTCGCTCCTCATTATTCACAACTGAATAGAAGGTCATGTCCCACCCCAAGAGCTGGGCTTACACCCAAAGCTGGTACTTGCAGTGCAATAATGGCAGGGGGATGGGGAGGAGAAGAAAAAGGAGCCACAAAAGGCAGCAGTGGCACTGTTAGAGGTGTTTCCTGTCCAAACTGTAAACCAAACTCCACTATCCTCATGTCTACTTCGCGAATAGGGCAGACGGGCGAGGTCCAGAAGCTTCTTTTCTGCAGGCACTGCCTGAGGGCAGAATGGACAGAAAAAGAACGGCCCAGGGAGAAATTAAGGGAAAGGGAAAAATGGAGACGCAGGAGTGGAATCTGCACAAGAAAGGTGCAGCCTCTATTAGTGTAGGTCTCCAGAGAGAAACCCCAGACCCAGTCAAGCTGCAAAATGAGTTGTCACTGAACTCAGTGAGGTCAAGATTACAGAGAGAATATGCAAGTCGTTCAGAGCCAAAATAATTACACAGGATTCACCTTATCTCTAAAAATCACATGAGACTACAAAATAGAAGTATTCTACTTTTTTTTCCTTCTAAACTTACCTGTAATTTCCTATAAAAAGTATAAACTCTGTACAGGAAGGTGCATGATTACCAAAGAAATCACATGGTTAAGAGTGCTTTTCTTCCTCTGCTCTTCTACACCCTTTAGAAGCATTTCATGGACTGCATCCTAAAGCTCAGGCAATCAGCAGCAAATGACACTGGTATGTAAACAAACCCAGGATTTAGGTGAACCTTTTTCACCGTTGCAGAGCTCCCTGCAAGTAGTTTTATAATTCTGCCCAGAAAATTTCTGTCTGTCTTTTATTATACGTTGTAAGAATATTCCACAGAGAACAGGAAGCACTGGGTAGTCCTGCAGGCACAAAGACTGACCAAATTCTATTTCAGATTCCCTTCCCTTTGCCCAGGAAGAAAAATCAAAAGTAAACACCAAAAGTTCCACCAACAGCTATAATACTACAAAGGCTGACATCTCGCTGTTAATTTTTAATGATGCCATATTTAAAGTCTTAAACGATGCTTTAAAATCTTTACTTACCAGCAAGCTATAATCAAGATCATACTGATACAATCTGACCCCAGGGTTATTGGAATCCATTTGCCATACGTTCTTCACTGGGGTTACAGCAGGTGCCACAAACAAGGAATTTACTGGCTTTTCTGCAGGAAGAGGTAAGGTGAGGAAACAGTTTCCCTTCAATTGTTTCTTTCTCAAATGTTTTTGTAGAGAACCAACACAGCAAGAACCGGAGTGACTGGCTTCGGTACATTAGCATTTTTTTCCCCGGATTAGCAATATCACTGTGAACTCCTTCTATACTTCACTGGATAGATGAAAATCTGTGTAAAATACCACACTAGACATTCCAGTTTGTACCAGTTAAGTTTGTCTATACTAGAAGCTTACTACCAATTCAACAACCTGTGCAAAATGGTCTTGCCTATACGTAAGGTCTCTGTATTTTGCATATTTCTACTGAAGAACTATTCAAAACTTGTACTTGCTGTCTCCATGCTATATTTTACATGTTGCTTTATGTATTTATGATGTTATTAGAAACACCAGGGTATGATCACCTGACCCAGACTGCACTGATCGAGACTAGCCCAGCACCTAGTGTGTGAACACCGATCCTTACAGCAACTGAAACTTTGAGGATGTACATGGGTTTTAATTAGATATAATAGGCAGGTAAACATATTGAGAGGTTCCCTGTGGAACAAAAAGAAGCCCTAACCATTCCTTTCGCTGACAACATCACAGCAGTGAAATCACAAGGTCAGTCTCCACATCTGAGCGGAAGCTTTGAAAGCCTGGAAATCAGTAGATTCTTCTGGAGAAAACAAAACTGAGCTCTGCATCTCAGTATGCTAATGTTGGCTACAATATTACACTTATCTTGAATTCTCTGGAATTTTGTCAAAAGGAAAATGGCATGAATAGAAGGCAGCCTAAAACTGTACAGAAAAACACAAACTGTATTTAGCTACATGCAATTTCACTGTTTAAATTTTGTCAAAAGATGCAGAATTATTAAAATAATTTAGAAGCAGTTACTTGCACATGCAAACTGTAATGACAAGGCACCAAGATCAGCCTGTCCTCAGTGAAATTTGCAGTAGAGGTGATGATGTCATGCACAAATTTGACAAGGTACAAAAATATGTAGGTATAAAACTACCGTGAATACCATTTTAAAAAAAAAAAATATAAAAAGCCAGTTCTTTCACTTAGGGCTGGATTCCTTTTTACTGGAGATTAATTCCATGACAACGCCACATAAAAAGGTAAATTATTTAGAATACTGTTACCCCAGTCAGCATTTTGGGCACTGCTTTTATGAGTTCATAAAAAACATACATAAAGAGCCAATTAATATTTGGGTATTTTACATAAACCAAAGCAATGGACCTCTCGCTGTTTTATGGCACAGACACAAATATTTAACCAGTTACATGTTAGAGATACTGTGTTAGAGATGTTAGAGGGCTCCATACGGCCATGCCCATGCTGAAAACTAAGGCATTTCAAAGCAATAAACAAAATTTTCAAACCTGGGTGCTTTTCCTGAAGGGAAATTAGCTGATCTAAGAGATGCAACAGGCAGAGACTTTCCTTCCCCTGCCTCCTGCTTACCCTTATCTTAATTAACTTTGAAGCAGCAGGGAACTCAGCGGAGAGGCACGGTAATGATGCAGGAAACACAAGAACATAGAGCATGTCTAGCTGGCCTGAGAACATTCCCTTTGACACATTACACAATAGCAACTGGCTAGTATAATTTGCCCGTGTCAGTGAGAGAGCAGAGAGGAAAAGAGGAAAGACTAGAAATTCTTGTCTAGGCATAAGCATTCATTAAAAAAAAAAAAAAAGCTTGGGGACTCTCTTCTGACTCCAACAAAAAAAGACAGTCTGCCTTGCAAGGTTCTCTTTGGAAAAAAATTGGGAGTGTGAGGCTTGAACTCTTGTAGATAAAAAGCAGTATTTCCAAATTTCCTTTTTCAACTATCTATAACGGAGGCTGACTAGTAAGAACATGCAAGAAAGTATTAATTTGCTTTTAATCAAGACGAAAAAGATGAAGGATTCAACAAGCATCATTACCTTCTTCATCCAGGAGGACCATGATACTATCTCTATGTGTATGTCCAAAAAACTGCCCCGCAATAACACTACCGTATTTGCGAAAAATCTTTACCAGTCTCTCATTGTAATACTCCCTGATAGCTGTGGTATTCCTTGCATATGGCAAGTATCCTATTGGTACATGTCCTATTATATACACCTAAGGAATTAGATACAGAAAGCACAATTAGCACCTTCATTTGAAACTTATACTTTTAGCTGTAACTTAGCATTATTATGGAATTGTGGTAACCATTTCTACCTTAGAAGTGGCATTCTGAAAGCTATAGATCACGACAGTTTTGTTATAAAAAATACAAACAGTAAGAATGTTTAAATTCATAATGAGAAAAAGAAATATTTTTTTTTAGTGAATTCAGTATATACTTGGTAAAAAAGTTCCAATAAATCTATGTGCAATTTTAGGCCAAAGGAAAATTTGATCAATTATTTCTAATGAAAAACCAAGTTACTAGGGCAAGACCTATGATTTGCAATCTCAAGGAGAGAGTAAGAAAAATTAATGTTAGAATATTACAGAGCCTGCATGGTCAGAGAGTCACCAGAAACACGAAGAACTGCTTAAAACCCCTCTGTCTAAGGTCGAGACTTGGTTCCAACTGCACACACCAACTAATATGCTGCAGGGTTTTATGAGGAAAGGAAATCTCTCTTTTCTCCTGATTGTAATATAGTATTTTTAAAATTACAACACCATAGCACAATGTAAACATGTTTCAAATTAAACACTTTTTCTGGTCAGATGATGATCCAATCCCCGCACCAAACATAAGCCAACAATTTATAACCTCACTTCAAAACATGAGTACTATAAGACAATTTGTTGTAACACTGAAATCATAGCAATTGCTGCAGCTTGGGTAAGTTTTGTGTTTGACAATTTCCTTTGTAATTTCTAGTTTTTGATATTTGTAATTACATAAAAATTTAAATGAAATACGCGAGGTTTTGTCTCAGGTCAATGGTGCACATCTTAAAATTAAAGGCTATGAGTAAAAAGAGTCAGAAACAAAGGCGAAAGTATTAAGTATTCTCAGCCTGGCTTCTACAGTATTTTACATAGTAGGAAAGAAAAGGTATTTTACAGTATAATTTGAGTATAATTTGAAAAACTGCATTCCACTATTTCATTAATTGTTGTAGTATAATGTGCATATTCAAAGAAGATTTATTAAAAAATTCTGATTCTGCAGTATCTTTGGCAGCATTAATACTCTTCTAGGATCATGTTTAAATTTTCATTGTCTCTACTTTTTACTACTTTTTTTTTTCCTTCTCAAAATTTAAACAAGTAACATTGATGGGTCCTGTTCACAGCCCCTACCTACCTTTTCCTTCTTTTGTGAAGAGGTTTCTAGTATTCCCTCCAGCCAGGCAAACTGGTTGGCTGGGTCAGCTATTTTCACAGTCACACTGTTGGGGCTGTAATATAAATTTGTGTTCAGACTGATTATCCTGAGTGGCTGAGAGCTATCGCTGGATTCAAACAGCTGTGTGTAGAAGCCACCTGTGAAAATAAGACCAACATCATCTGAAAAATGAAAGGCTTCAAAGCACAACTTTAGAATGAAATTACAGCACTGACAAAATACCCAGCCTTATTCTTTCTAATAAAATAGAATATGATATGTTTATTCAAGCCATGCATCACCTTATCACAACGGAACATCTTAAGAATCTGGTTTTAGCAACATTTTAGTTGGAGAAGTTGACACTGATTTTTTAATGAATTCCTGCCTGTAATTGCCTTTGTGTTTATCTGACAGTTTTCAGATGCAATTATCCAAATGACACTCAAGAAGCGCCCTGAAACATTTCTTTCACATTGAGAGATATAGTAATTGTTAAAAAGGCCACATTCCTTGAAATACTGCAAACATATAGGTTCCTCCAGGAAGAACTGTTTGAGTTTTGTAGCCTTGTCCTTTGAAAGTCATTTAACTTCAGACTGGAATAAGATGAAAAGCAAAGATCATGTTTTTCAGTACAAGCTCCTAAAACATTCCATGGCATACAGAGCTTCTTCAATGGGTGCAATTTCATAGTTCATGGACTTCAGTGGAGCCATGGCAACAGAGCTATGACAATATACCTTAACTTAAGGTCTGCCCCTTTGAGTTCTATTTTTCCTATTAGAGTTTCTGCTTCCAGTCTTACCCAGAGTTCCTCCTCATTCAGGAGACAAAATCACAAATTAAACTTCCAAATCCCTAATGTTCAAGTGGATTGGAAACTGGGTTGAACTTTTCAGTCCTTTGCTAAAAAAAAATCGTAATTAGGATATCAGTATTCTCCCAGTTTAGTAAGTTATATCACAAATATGATGCTATTAACAGTATAATCACCAAAACTATGTGCTATCATTACTTGAACAAATGTATGCCTCTTCAATATGCTCTGAAATACATGTAGTATCAAACCAGAAACATTTCATCAATTTTTTACAACCAAATTTAAGTAGTCTTGTGCATCATACACCTTCATCTATAAAGTATTACAAGGTCTTGAAGGCAGTAAGATATTTCACATGCATTGGTACAAAGCCAATAATACTGTACAAGTTACAAGAAACAATAATTATTGCATCAGAAGAGAATAAATGGACCCTGAAGATAAACACTGCTATTCAAAAGACAAGTAACTTCTTCCAGGAGCATTACAGATAAACCATTGTGCTGATTCACCCTATAAGGCTTAGCTAAACAAACGGGACAAATCTGTAGAATCATTATTGCGCTAAGCCCTAGCTTTACAATGCATTACTGGCATATTTTACCTTTTCTGAAGGTACTGATTGCTTCATCTGTTAGCCAAGGCTTCCAGAAATCTGCTACAGCATTGTAAACTTCATTGGTAGTTACAGGAAGCTGATCCTGTGAGAGCACAGAACCTGTGTAAGTCTCAGCATTCAGACACACAGACAAAAAAAAAAGAATCACTAAATTATCCCGCCTGACCTCTCGCATAACACGTAAGTGTATCCAGTCACCACCAGGATGAACTCAAGAAAGGAAAAAAAACTTCTGAACATCCAGTATTGCTGATCAGGAACAAATGTCTGAACTTAAAGGTTGGACTCGATGATCTAAAGGTTGGACTCGATGATCTTAAAGGGCTTTTCCAACCAAAGTGATTCTATGATTCTATGAACTTAAGTCAGAACTGACTGCATGGCCTCGTCAATGCATTGATAAACTAATGCCAGAAATATTTCGCGCCTTAGGAGCACAGCAGAGTGGAATTAATAAACATGTAAACCTAAGATTCAAAGTCTAAAATGAAGTCTTATGGAGGAAAAGCTTGAACATAAGCTTCTTTTATAGAAGGTGAATTTTTCAAGCAACCTATGGTTCATAGCAGCTCCCCAAAACTCCACTATGGCCCTCAGAAACATTCTGGTGAAATTCACAAACATTTCCATGATATCCTGTAGCTATAATAACAAAGCATTTAAAACATAAAAGTTTTGTCAATGTTTTCTCCCACTGGCTCTAATTAGGACTGTAGCACTCTTCAGTCTGAGCCAAGCAATGCCCAAGCACCACAGCCTCATAAAAGCCATGCTCTCATCTAACTCTGACAGGAAGACCCCAGCCTGTCCTTGCCTTTCTTAGAGTATCTGCTTGGATTCTTGGTGCTATAAGGAAACAAAAAAAAACAGAGGTTGAAAAATAGGAACAGTATTATAGCGCATGTTTTCTTAAAAATAAAATTTGACCTTTCTAAGAGCTTTGAAACTAAACCTACGTTATTAGAGGCTTAGGAACTAAGTCTCTGTCTAGGAGTAGTGCAATCAGAAGTCTGTGCAGACATTTGTTGCTTGCAGTGCACAGATACCAGTTATTAAGAAAGCTTTGAGCTATACCAGTTCAGCCAGAGTTAACAGTCAGTAACAGACACAGCAAAACCTGACCTCAGATAAGAGGCTGTGTTATGGACCGAGGGTGGTTTGGACCCAGGCAAGTCAGTGCTCTGTGAACTTGTGGATTAGACAGCAGTCGGGGAATTTGTTTTAAGCAGGGGCAAGGATGTGAAACAAATAAGACTATGCAGGAAGACTGAGGTCACAATATACGATCTGAAAGGTACCCCAATGCTTGATTAACCTGAGTAGTATTTTTAATAGGCTCTGCAAGAAAAATCACCCGAGACCGTTAAATTGTTAAGACAGACAGGTCAGAACACAACAGAGAGCAATAAAATTCTTTGGTGCATGGTGAGCGTGCAGCTTTCACACTTGCTCTGGAACAGCCTGCAGTGTGTGGCTTGCTCCACATTGCTTCTAGTCTACGGGACGTTTGCCAAGCGTGTCCACGTGAAAAAACAGAAATATCATCAACAGCAAAAAAAAAAAAAAAAAAAAAAATCCAACAACCTGAAATGACCCCATAGCAGGGAATTTCTGATCCCATGGTCTTTTTTGAACACAAACAGAAAAGTATGTCAGTTCTGCACATTGGTGAAGCCTGCCATTTCAAAGCAAAGCATTGCAGAAACATGCCTGTGTGGTTTTGTGCAGAGAGAACTACAACAGTTATTCCGATCAGCAGCCTGCTTCAAAATTCTATTTGCTGCCCACCTGCCCCTCCTGACCTATCTTTTTTCTATCTTCAGATTTAATTTCACAAACAAAACTTGTATTTGTTGGAAAAGTCTTTGTCTACGTGCTTACTGTACACAGTTTTTTTCTTCTCTGTCAAAGGAGACTGCTGAATGACAACTATTCCCTGTTAAGACTTTTTAAAAAACAAAATGAAAACAAAACACCGAGTGAGACTTCAATTAAGGTGTTATTTATCAAAATACTTTACCGGTGGTTTCTGGTGGACCAACCAGGCCCCCTGCCAGTGATTGTGACAAGCTGAAACTATACTTCCAGAGTAAGAACACAAGAGACTCAAGTCCCAGCTTGGTTTGTGCACTCACATTTCCAAGATATGTTTAGCTCTTATTTTGTCTCTCACATTTCCCTTTCCCCTCTCTGAGCATTTCTGTTACTCCCTGATTTGGGAATCACAAACTCCAGCAACGATACAGCCAAAGATACAATCACCTGCTACACCAAGACATGCCCTGATTGGCCTAATGAATAACACAGAAAGCTGGAATAAAAGTCTCTGGGGATGTGAAGGGGTGTTACTGAATTCCCATTAGGCATTTCAAACAAAATATTTTAGTTGACCTTCCAATCCCCTCAGATCCAATGACAGAATTTGCTTCTCAGTCCTGTGTGCTGCCAGATCAACCCACAATATGCTTTAAAGGACACATGAAGCAACTGTTTACTTTTGAGCTATGCCAAGAACAATATTCACAGAACACTGAAAGTAAAAAAGCAGTGTCCTCAGCTGCAATGGTGCACATATCCAGTAAATCATGCGAGTATTTCTAAGTGTCCAATGAGGAAAGCAAAAAAGATGTATTTTTAATAGTAGTGGCAAAACTATGGGAACATTACAAAAATTCTGCCATTAGTCTGATAAAAAAAATCCAGTGATGTCAGCAGACAGACTTCCAGTAGGCCTTTCAGTAGGCCTTAAATTTTACCACAGGCTCATAGATAATCCATTAAGGATGTAATTTCTGTTAGATTAAGTTATTGTACACGCATGCATGATGTACAGAGCAAGAAAAAAAATGTGTGTATTACCTATGATGAGACCTGGTTGTTCTAAGCCATGAGGAACAATTAGCAGTAAATTTGCATGACCTCAGGCAATGTACAGATTTTACCTGGCATCAACGTTTGCTTGGGTAACTTAACACAGAGAGAGATGTACTTTCTGTTCTTGATTGGAACTATTTATCATTTTAAATGCTAATTGGAGAATACTGTTTCCAGAATAATAGTTACACAAAATTAACTCTTATTTTTCACACCTGCTTTCTGAGGGGTTAGGAAGACACTCAATACGATACATAAACAAATTTCTAACTTGTTTTACCTGTGGCCAATAGTCATGATTGCCCAAGGCTGGGAAAACCTGAAGATCTGGAAAGAAACTACGAATTGTAGAACTCATATTACCGATGATACTAATAACCAACTTCGTGGAGAGTTCTTTTACAGGAACATGAGGAGGGCTATCTCTGAAAAAGGAAAAGGCTTTATTAACAGAGGTTTATTAGCAACATAAGGAAAGGCAAAAAAATTCTGCAAACACATCTACATTCTAGCATGTAATACTACTATAGACTCTTTAATTAAAATCATAGAATTGCCTGAAAGGTTCTCTACAAAGGCTTTTCTTTGTAAAAAAACAAACAAGTAGACTAATATTTATGCTATGATTCACGTTTATCATAACTAAGATTTCTTAGAAATTAAATTAATTCAACTCCATCACTTTGAGCTACTGTGCAGTTTGGGTTATGTATCTGCACAACCTTATAAGTTTATTTTTTCCCTTTTAACAACATCCTGTTGAAAATTAAGTACAGTAGGGTAAGCAAAAGAAATTAATCACTTGCCTTTACATATTCATGTTCCTTAACACCCTTCCCCCAGAAAAATTAAGTGATACAACATATATAAACCTTTCCAGAAAAAAGACCCATCATTGATGAACAAACTAGTTCTCACAAACACTCAAAGATACTAAACTCTTTGATAAATTATCCATTGATGTATACCATAAAAAATTATGTGATGGCAGAACGGAGAATTTTGCTATGGCAGAAGGGTAAACTGATGCTATTTTTTCTGAATACCTAGAAGGCAACAGAGCATGGTACTATGACAGTTACCCTCCCCCCAATAGCCCCGATCTAAAATTCATACAGGCACCAAACCTGAATGGTAACTTTATATACTTAAAAAAAACCCAAACCAAAACAAAACCAAACAAAACAAAAAACCCCAAACCCATAAGCTACATTATTGCTTGATTCTAGTTACCTCTTAGAGAACCAAATAAAATATAGTCAAAGGATATTTTCTGAAAAGGGATGCTCTTTAGCGACCTTAAGACCTACAAACTCCAGTACCTCCCATAATAATTCATTCCAGTTAGTTATTCCTGACCTTTCTTTTTGCTTTTTTCCACTTCCCACCCTCCCCACACCACTTCTATTAACTTACACTAATACAGTCATGTGGTAAATGTCGCAATGAACAGTCCAATGATATCTAGAAATGATTACAGAGATCGAAATCTGTTCCCGAGGCCTTATATTCTCGGTCTCCCACTTATCAGCCATTCAGACAACTAAAGGGACTATTTAAAAGTAGCATTTGTGGGATACTAAACTCAGAGCTGTTGGTGGAAATACAAGCTTGTGAATTACTGCACTACACTGTTATCCAGCTGTTAACTGCAGAGTGACTTGAACACTCACCCTGTCCAAATCATGAATGAAACCTGCTGCTTTGAATCCTTCATGAACGCAAACGCTGACAAAATAAGTTGATATGGAGAATCACACAAAAAGTCTCCAAAAGGGCCTGGGTTGGAGGCATTGGCTCCTTTGGAAGAAGAACAAACTTTGGTGCGATCAGGGGTGATGTGGTAAGTCGGATCTAAATGTAGGTCAGATACATGCCAGAACTGCCCTGTTTTCAAAAAACAAAGGTTAAAGGAAATGCATTATTTGCAGTTGAACTGGATACACATGGGTAATGCCAAGTTTGCTCCAGTCTGTCTACTGCTTTTCCTCTTTCAAGTTTTGAAAAGGAGATTAAATTTAGCAAATTGTTGATTAGCCTGTTTGATAAGCGTGGGCGCGTTCTGCATTCCTGACAAGAGTCCTTCACATAGTCTGCTTAGAAAAACTGAAAACAGAAGCAGAGGCATAGGTTTAAGCTGTTAAGCAGAAAAAAAAATGGAGGTTGGCAGGGACTAGAAAATCAGCTCTTTGTCATTAATAGCAATCTGGAAACTGGAGAGTAGAGGAGGAGATAGGACTTCTCCACTCCACCACCTGAAAAGAGAGGGAGTTGCATTTTAATTATTTTTCCAGACCTTCCCTGGTTGGAAGCTACTATAAAAGACCACAGACTAGAAAGAAAGGCGAGAAACAGCACGTGTGCAAGAACTTCAAAGCTGTTCTTCTCCCCAGCAGCTGCAGTAGCAAAGAGACTGGGTTTCTCACCAATGAGAGGTGTGTCAGCCTTACCTACTCACTGCTTTCCAGGCTGACACATTCTCAGCCACTGCCACTTAGCACTGCAGGGAAAAAGGAGCTGAGAAATACAGGAATATGGTGAACAAGATGAATTAAGCTTGTATTAAGACTACCAGCCTTCAAGTTGCATGTAAAGCAAGAGTATTTTCTTTGTCAGTTTCAAAGCACTTGGGAAAGGCACATGTGCATCTGAGGTAGTGGTTGTGAAACCGGGACTGATATAAACTGATTTTTCCCAAGGTCACACGCTCACTCCATGGCTGAGCAGGCACCACGCGACTGGACCCCGCGGAGATTTATTTCAGGAAGCAAAGACCAGCAGTGATCTTCAAAATGTGCAACACTGCAACTCCTAGTAACAGGAGACCAAGAAAACTGCTGGACACTGTTGCATGTTTGGTCTGAGGCACGTATGAGTCACAGGAAACAAAAATCCTGTGGAAACCATTTCTGAGCACTCACCTGGGTACGTGGATCATGCCAGGCAGGGCATGTATGTGTTTGCTGACAGCACAGAAGCCAAATTTAATGTTTGCAGTGCAAGCCTCAGGACACCGCGCCAAAGCCAGGGCAGGGCTCCCCTCACCTGCCACCCTCCAGAGCGCCAGCATACCGCGGCTAACTACATATAAACCCCTTAACCCCCCCAACACCTGAACAGCGATGTATTTACTTACCTGCCTACCCTGGCTAACTAAATATAAACCCCATTTAACCCCACCTCCCCACCGATACCTAACAGCGATGTATTTACTTATCTAAAAGTCACATGAAGCTGAAGCCAGCTGGGGCAGGGAATACCACTGCAGCAGTCTGTGTGTGGGCAACGGCGAGAAGGGGAGGGAAGGAGGCTCAAGAGGGGAGCACGGACCC